GAAGACGAAGTCTCACTCTCCTCGCCCAGGCTGGAGTGCAGAGGCGCGATCTCTGGGCTCACTACAACCTCCATCTCCGCGGGTTCAAGTGATTCCCCTCGCTCAGCTCTCCGCAATGCAGCATGGGACTAGAAGGGCGGCACACCACCACCTCCAGCTAATTTTTGTATTTTTAGTATGAGAACGTGGGTTTCCACATATTGGCCAGGCTGGTCTCCTGAAGCTCCTGACCTAGAGATCCGCCCACCCGCCCCTCCGGGGCTCCCAAAGTGCGTAGGATCTACAAGCATTGAGCCACTGTGCCTGGCTTGCCCCACCCTTTCTTCTGTGTTTGTCTCCTGCTGATTGGCAGTAGGAACTCTTAATGGGGAAAAATCTTCTAGGAGGGCAACAAAGGACTGCAGAACCCACTGAGGCAGTGACTTTGTCACGTCTGATAACCTCGCTTGCTGCTCAGTTGTCTTCTATTTGATGAGTTTGTTGCTGTGGTTATGATTTTGTCTCTCAGTCATCCCTGACACCCTATTAAGTAGGCTGACTCTTCTAGTCAGGCCAGTAGAGGACGCCACAGGCTAAACATTGCTTCAGGCTGTGTTTGGGCTTGAGCATAAGCCTACGGACTTACAGCCTAGCCTGTGGTCTATGTTCTCTTCTGCAAAGGCATAAACAGGGGCCGCCTCTGCCGCCGGCCGCCGCCCGCCTCATCCCTCCTCTACCCTCTGTCCTGCCCACTGTTCCCTCCCCACCTTCTCCCTCCACCTCCCCTCCTTCTCCTTCTTTCTTCTTCTTTTAAATTAAGCTTTCTTTATTCTACAAAACTACAAAACTAGTAAGTCCAAGGATGTGGATTAGAATTTAGATATCTTAGACTGGAAAACCTATATATTACTTTTTTAAATTTTACTTCAGATTCTTTTTTTGTCTAGTCTACTAGATCATGTCCTCACTCACTAAAGGAAACTAGGAAATTCACGTCTACACAGGATTAAAACTTTTTCTAGGTATTATTTGTCTTTCTTTATTGTTGTAGAAAGTAAAACATGCATATATGCATATAGTTCGTTTTCTGAATTTACTTTCTTTTTTTGTTTTGTTTTGAGACGGAGTCTCGCTTTGTCGCCCAGGCTGGAGTGCAGTGGTGCAATCTCGGCTCAGTTCAAGCTCCGCCCCCCGGGCTCCATCTCCCGGGTTCAAGTGATTCTCCTGCCTCAGCCTCCCGTGGAACTGGGACTACAGGCGCCCGCCACCAAGCCCGGCTAATTTTTTTTTTTTTTTTTGTATTTTTAGTAGAGATGGGATTTCACCGGTGTTGCCAGGATGGTCTCGATCTCTGACTCGGATCGCGAAGTACGTCCTCAGCCTCCCAATGCTGGATCACAGGCGTGACCACCTGCGCCGGCTTCTTTCTTTTTTTGTGGACCGAGTTTGCTTTGTTGCCAGGGTGGGTGCAGTGGCACTTCTCAGCTCACTGCACCTCTGCCCTCCTGGGGTCCAAGCCATTCTTCCCTGCCTTAATGCCTCCTGAAGTACTGGGATTTACAGGCGATGGCAAACCACACCTGGCGAATTTGTATTTTTTAAAGTAGAAGATGGGTTTCGCATGTTGGCCAGGCCTGGTCTTGACTCCCTGCTCTGGTGATCCATTCCCTCCTCACCTCCCAAAGGCTGGGGATTAACGGCAATGCGAATTTTCCTCACTGATGCAGGTCACGCTTTCCATAAAGAACCAGAATCATATTCTCCCTTTAAATGGCACGTAGTTTGAACAGTTAGAATTTCTGTGATATGTTAGTTCCAGAGAAACACATAGAATAATCTATTATTGAGGAGGGATTTCCTTTAAGGAATTGCTCGTGCACTATGGAGGCCCAGAACCCCCTCACGTTTCATCGACAGCTGGAGACCCGGATGGCTGGGGCTTTAACTCCACCCGAGTCGAAACCAAAACCCCGGGGCAAATCCAGTCCAGGGCAAGGAAGGAGAGTTGCCCTGTGAAGCCAGGCAGCAGGAGGAGCAGAAGGTTTCCCTTTCTCGCTTTGGTCTGTTCAGGCGTTGGATGGACTGGATGGGCGCCCCACTTTGGGGGCGCTCTGCATGAACTGATCCACTTCTGCTATCTCATCTGGAAACACCCTTGGAGACACACCCAGACGCCATGTTTAATTTGACACATAAAATTAACTATCATAGTGTATTCTGTATTTTCCCAGAAAAATGTTTTAACAGTGGTTCAGGAACTTTTTTTTTTTTTTTTGGTGAGACAGGGTCTCAGATTGCAGTGACACAATCTCAGCTCACTGCAAATTGCATCTCCCAGGTTCAAGCAATTCTCCTGCCTCAGTCCCCAGGTAACTGGGATTACAGGTGTCCGCCATCACGCCCGGTGGCAACTTTTTTTTTTAATGCTAATTCCCTTAGGGGAACGTAGTAATGTAAGAACCACGCCGATGTCGTTCATGTGTTTAGGCCGATTTTGCTGTATATTAGGGACTTCCTTGGGAGGAATATAAATCATAAAATTTTCTGTTGATCTGTTTTTAAAGTGAAGAATGTGGAACACTATGTAGTAAGTACTTGACTTAGAGATCGAGCCAGGTTTTCTTTCAAGATTCTTAGGCAGTGGTGTGGTGGAGCCTGCAGGGAAGCTGCCTGCATCTCTTCCCTGATGCATGGTTCGTGGCTGTTGTCAGTGCAGAATGATGGTTCAGAAATGTGGAAAGGAGGACTGTTTCTCATACTGGGTTGCAGCCTGCAGGGTGGGGCCATTCTGGTGGCTAATGGTAGCCTTGGGCTAGAAGCCAGAAACATATTCTGAGGGAGTGGAAAGGGAGCAGGAACGTATGCCAAGCCAGGTGGCCGAATGTATGTGTTCGGTGAGCTGCAGGAGGCGTGGCGTATTTGCTAGAGAAGTGTGTGTCTGCACAATTGGGCTTCATGCTCCTTGAGACCCATGTTCAGAAAATGGTGGCATGAGCAGGATCTGAGGGTAGTGTTTTCAGCCCTCTGAGTCAAAAGGTGAAGCAGAGGAACAAAACCCCTCCCTGCGTGTCCTCCATAGGCTGGCCTGAGCCTCCCTGGCGCCTTCTTAGGGGCAAGTGCTGGCTGCTTGGTTGTTGAAGCCGCAGAAGATGGGGGAGCAGTCAGTTGGTTGTCACTGCCAGTGCAGTCTGCTGAAAGGACTGGTTTCCGCTTAGTCCTTAGGGCAGAAAGTCTCATGCGGTCAGCACGGGAGGGGCAGAGCAGGGTGAGCCCCACGTCTTAGCCTGTCATGACTGGTAGCTTAGTTTCAAGGTTGCCTCAGGCTTCCTCGGCCAAGAAAGGGTCTGCTGAGTGAGTTGAGGGCTTAGAATTTGGATCTTATTTCTCATTGTCTAGTAGTTTAGTCATGTAAAAGTAGTAGTTTCAACTGGAGGGTGTCGTTGAAAGGCTATCAACAATATATGCAAAAACTCTTAAAATATCGCTTAAAAGGAACTCCACTTTCATGATAGAATAAAAACAGTTCTCTTGAAAATCATCTCAAAACAGCCACAAAAACAACAAAAGAGAAACCAAAGTTCTTTGATGAAGCTAGGGGACATCTGGAGCTCCAGCTGCAAACCTGTGAACTGAAGCAGATGAAGGAATGACAGCTGACCTTCTGGGATGAAAGATGGTGTCAGTGCCCGAGGGGGAGGGTGCCCACAAGAAGCAAGTCAGTTTGTTCCACAGAACCCCAGAACTCAGGAGGGGAAAGTGCCATGTCCCCAGTAGGCAGTGCCCCACATGGGCTTAGGTGGCGCTCTGGCACAGGAGGCTTCTTTGAGCATGTGCAGTGGTTGGACCTCTGTGAGAACCTACACCCAGCACAGGGAGGGAACTGCCTATCCTTCAACTCATGCTGGAGACAAAAGGAGCTAGGTCTGGAAAAACGGACTAGGCTGTTTTCGATTCAGGAAAGCCAGGTGTAGAATAGAGCTGGAGTGAAGCACAGAACTAAAAATAGGGGGAGAGAATGAGTGTCCATGGTCCAGGGTGAGACTGCCTCTCTGTCACCTCCAGCCTCAGGCACCGTCACCTCTCCTTCACCCCAAGGGGCAGCGCCACCTCCACCCCGCTCGGGACTTGAAGTCACTTCTGGAGAAACAAGTAGCTCAGATAAAAGTTTCATAAGTACACGTATTTGAAAACCCCCATTAAAACGTTAGTCTGCCATCCGTGATGGTTAATTTTATGTGTCAACTTGGCTGATCCCTGGTGCCCAGACATGTGGTCAGACATTATTCTGGATGTTTCTTTGAGGGCGTTTTTGAATGAGATTTACATTTAAGTTGGTGGACTTTGAGTGAAGCCAGCTGCCCCATAGGATGTGAGTGGGCCTTGTCCAGACAGTTGAAGGTCTGACTAGAACAAAATGCTGGACCCCCAGGCAAGAGAGGATTCTCCAGCACTCTGCTTTCAGACTCCAACTGCAGCTCCTTCCTGAGTCTCCAGCTTGCTGGCCACCCCAGGCAGTTTGTGGACTCATGAAGCCTCTGCAGCCAGTTCCTTGGAGTGAATCTCTTTCTCTACTTCTATACTTCCTGTTGGTCTACTTCTTTGGAGACCCCGGCAATCCCCCATCCAGCCACTCCACAGTGATTCCCACCATTCCGCAGCCCCTTCTGTGCACTGAGGGAAGCGAGGAGCTGTGCCTTATGTGTGAGCACAGACCGGTAGCCGATGAGCAGACACGGCAGAAAAGCCCCAACTTGAAAGGTGGAGACCTGAACAAGTAGAAATAAAAACAAAGAGAAAGCAGGAAGTGGAAGAAAGCTTTGAAGAAATAATAATTCATAATTAATATCCTCAGGGAAATAAGAGATGCTGTTGCATCCAAGAAACAGGAAACATTTGATGGAAAAAGAGAGCTCTTGAAAATAAAAAGTATAATGGCTGAATTTTTAATAAATTCATGAAAATGTTTGGGAATCAAAGTCATATCTTAGAAAGCGGGCAGAAATAAGACAATGGGAGAGGAAAACGTAAGAAAGCAAGAGGATTAATCCAGGAGGTTCAGCATGTGACTGGTGGGAGACCTAGTGAGGGAGAACACACAATAGGAGGGAGGAAAATAACACAAGAATATGCTCTAGAAATGAGGGACATAGGCTGGGTGCTGTGGCTCGTGCCTATAATCCCAGCACTTTGGGAGGCCAAGGTGGGCAGATCACTGAGGTCAGGAGTTTGAGACCAGCCTGGCCAACACAGTAAAACCCCATGTCTACTAAAAACATACAAAAAATTAGCTGGGCATGGTAGTGAGCACCCATAATCCCAGCTACTTGGGAGGCTGAGGCAGGAGAATCACTCGAACCCAGGAGGCAGAGGTTGCAGTGAGCCGAGATCACGCCACTGCACTCCAGCCTGGGCAACAGTGTGAGACCCCATCTCCAAAAAAAAAAAAAGAAAGAAATGAGGGACATAGTTGCATATTGGAAAGACCTACCAGGTTCCTACACAATGAATGGAGACAGACAAATCCACATCATGCCCGTCATTGTGAAAGCTTAAGATAAAGGGATAAAGAGACAGTGCTTAAAACGTTAGACAAGAAATAGCCACGTGTAGCGGCGTGCACCTGTAGTCCCAGCTACTCGGGAGGCTGAGGCAGGAGAATTGCTTGAACCTGGGAGGCAGAGGTTGCAGTGAGCTGAGATCATGCCACTGCACTCCAGCCTGGGTGACAGTGAGACTCCGTCTCAAAAAAAGAAAAAAGAAAAAAAAAACTTTAGAGAGAAAAAGGTTATGTACAAAGTCCAAAAATGGCATTGGACTTTGCAACAGTTTCACTGAAGCTAAAAGATAAATGGAAATGACTTCCAAGTTTTGAGTAAAAATGATTTCCAACATTGCATTCTGCCCAGAAAGTTACCAATTAAATGTGGAGTAGAGCAAAGACTGTTTAAAACATCCCGTTCCCCTGTACTCCATCTCAGGAAGCTACCGGAGTGTGGTGTCTACCACAACAAGGGAGTGCTCTAAGAAAGAGGATCAGATCCAGGGAAGAGGGGCTACCAAACAAGAGAGGGAGCAGAATCCCTAGGAAGTTGACAGGTGCAGGTCCCAGGACAGCAGTGGCACAGAAGACCTGGAAAGCAGCCGATAATGGAGAGTCACCTCCAGGGAAAACAAAGTCATAGTAGATTTGACCATGTGGAAAATCTTACCGAGAGACTTTTTATGGAGCTGTTGGTGGGTATGAAAGAGCTTAGGTACTGGTTTAAAGAAAACTAAGCAAATAAAATGTTAGAAAGTTACTCCAAGAAAAACTAAAAGGTGTAAAAGAATATCTAATTCACTATATTTACTGTTTCAGGAGCAAATAGTATTTGCATAGCATAGTCTGTAAAGAACACAGGATTATGGATGGTGAGCAGAGTGAAATTCTCCTGGGAAGATTAGAGGAAGGAAAGTGTCTCTCATCTGCCCCAAGGGGAAGCCTAGAATCAGTGACTCAGGGCACAGCCGTGCATGGATTGTTTAGAAATACCGTGGTAATATGAATAAGCAGCTAACAACCACCACAACAGAAAGGAACTCAGTTGTGTCCTAGGAAGGACATGGTCTGTTGGTCTTTGAATTAAGCTCCTCAATATTTTTTGACTTTTTAAAGTGGTTCTGTATTTATTACCTGTACGAAAGTAATTTTAAAAGTATCATGTAGCCTTTTGGAAATAAACTTCATGACCTATAGTTTTTAAAAAGCTAATACAGTCTCTAAGTGTGTATCAGGGAAAACACCTAAAGATTTTCTACTAAATATAGTTTTATTTCAATGAAATTTAGAAGTATTGATATTCCTTAAATTATCTTTCCTTTGTTTTTAATAAAATTAACTTTTTGTTGAAGAAATGAGGTTTTTTATTCTGTAGGAGAAGATGTCATGTTGTAAACTTTGGTGCTTATGGAATGATGAGAATTTAAAGCAATGCAATATTTTATTTCAGTTTTGAGAGTACTTTACATCACCCCTGACATTTGCCACCAAAGCCTAATGAAAAATCAGTGGCCAGAGACGGGTTCTCTATCTCAGACTTCACCAATATGCAGATTTATGTGGTGCTAACATGTCACTTTAAAGATATTGTGTGGTGTTAACATGTCACCCTAAGACGTTCTGTAGCGCTAATATGTCACCCTAAGACGTTTGTGTGGTGCTAACCCGTCACTCTAAAGATGTCATGTGTTGCTAATGTGTCACCCTAAAGAGATTGTGTGGCATTAACATGTCACTCTAAGGATGTCATGTGGTGCTAACATGTCACCCTAAAGACGTGAGGTGTTAACATGTCACCCTAAGATGTTGTGTGGTGCTGTCATTCTAAGGATGTCATGTGGTGGTGACATGTCACCCTGAGACGTTGTGTGATATTAACATGTCAGTCTGAAGGCATTGTGTGGCATTAATGTGTCACCCTAAAGTCATTTTGTGGCATTAACATGTCACCCTAAAGACATTGTGTGACACTAACATGTCACCCTAAGATGCCCTGTGGGCTGGCATGCCACCCTAAGACGCTCACTTAGCTCAGCCTTGCCATCTGACTCTTCTCACCAGATTTTTTCGTGGGAATCTGTACAGTAACTTGAGACTATTTGAATGTTTTAAGTCCTTTTAAAAAAACAATGCCTCAAAATTTGCAAATATTTTCCAAATACGTTTTTAGTCTTAGTCCCTGTAGTAAAACTTAAACACAAATTCAATAATGAATTCTAGTAGGTAACATTTAATGAGTGCCTTCAGTTAGTAAAAGCCAGTATCACCACAAATTGTTGGATGAAGGAGTGAGGCATGCATTTTTTTCTCCTTTTTTCCTTACAAACGTCTTAGGAGTTGAGTACTATGATTATTCTATTTTAGAGATAAAGAGACTGAGGTTAAATAATTTGGCTGAATAACAAAGCCAGTATATAGATTTGGGAGAAGAGGGGTACCTGGCTTTCTAGAAGGTGTGAGCCCCATGGAAGGATATCAAGTATTCGTATTTTAACAAAGCAAAGCAACAAAACAAAACCTACCTACTCCTAGGTTCACTTGCCATTTAATCATTTCCTTTACTACTCATCCACCAAAGAGGAGACAAAATACATTGTAACACTGAGATTTCAAAAAGTTGAAACAAGTTCTGCCTAAGTCTTAAATAACCAGATAGTTGAATTAATTCTAATTCTAATTTTATGTGCTCTTTAGTTTTCCATGTAATTGATGTTTTATTTTGTTAGCCGTGATACAATGTAAAAGAAATAACTTCAGAAAAAATAATTTGTGTTTTATTTTTGTTTGTTTAAAGCCAGCAGCAAAAGTGGACCAAGAAACTTTGACAGAAATGGTGAAACCCAGTATTGATTACGTGCGCCACAAAAAATTCCGATCTGGGAATTACCCATCATCGTTAAGCAATGAAACAGACCGGCTGGTGCACTGGTGCCACGGTGCCCCGGGGGTCATCCACATGCTTATGCAGGCGTACAAGGTCAGTGCTTCCACTGTCACGGCCATCCCCTGTGTGGGGAGCCAGGTTTCCCTGTCAGGTTTTTGGCCTTGCTTTGGTAAGGCCATTTGACTGTACACTAAAAACCTTTTAGAATGAATGTTTTTACAAAGTAAAGTCTTTGTATTTTACCACTCATCACCACTGCCATTAGTGCTACAAGTCTGTGTGTGTGTGTGTATGTGATTGTGTGTGTTAACAGGGTTTATATTCATGTGTAAAAGAAAACGTAGATGACAGAGCAGTGATGAGATGATTTTCGTTCTAATGAGTATGGGTATCCAGTAAAGTAGTGGATAGGATTATAACCAAAGTGCTTTTTTGTTCATTTTCACATCATTTCATTTTCTTGCTTGAATAAGGCTTTATTGCTGGATTATTAATAATAATAATGATTGTCTAAGAGCTTTTGAGTTTAAAATTGTTATATTATTCTCAAGACATAGGTGGTACTCAAATTTGTATACATCTGGGGTACTCTAGGAAAATAGGCTGAACCTTCACTGATTAATTCTAGTAGGCTTTAAATATGTTTGGGCATAATATTAAGAACGCTGTTGATTTCTTCCTGGACTAAGATTTATCATATAAGTTGAAAACCAGTGATGCTTCTTTTGTAATTTTATTTTTATTTAATACATCTGTGTTTGTAATAATTGATGTTGGAGATTGTTGCTCATACATCAGAGTATACAACTGTAACACAATGATTGCTCTGTTCAACACAGTATTTTGGCCAGTTCTCTTTGTTTAGGATAGATAGATGGAATTAATGGAGCAGAACTCATATCTCTACCTGGAAATAAGAAGAACTGATACCTGAGTCAATTTTATTTTTTCTTTACAGCCACCATAATAAATTACTCAGAAAAATTATGGCGAATTATCTCTCATGATTTAGGCTAATTTGTCAGAAATTTTTAGTCCTCCTACAACAACACCAAAAATATTCAAATCATATATAAGATATGAGCATTCAAGAAAACAGCTCAGAAAGTTATGATGTTTGGTCAGAGTGAAACACGATGAAATGTATTTTTTGAAAATAACATGTATCTTCCTAACAGTACCCTCACTTTTACATTAAAACATAATTCTCTTCAAATCACTGCCTCCCTTTTTTAGAGTTTCGGAGCAGTTATAACTTCAGTGTCATAGACATCTGTAATATGTCCAACAATAAGGTGTGAGCACAATATTGACTGTACAGACAGGGGCCCTCTGATACTTAAAACAGATGTATAACTGCTAAAACGTGGAGGCTCCTTTTTGTCAAACTCCTTTTCCCTTCACGTGAAAGAGGCTCAGCCGACACAGCTGGTTGTTCTTGGTGGCTGATCTCTGCTGCCGGCTGTACCTTTCCAGTCTGTTTCAACAGAGCCCTGTGGAGAGCAAGTAGGTGCCAGGAACCAGGCTATCCTGTGGGGACCCTTCCTCCTGGGCCGTTTCATTTTCATGAGTTCTGCTGACAGTGGTCACCATCTGTTTTCACCACTGCTGGCCACTTGGGAGCAAGCCAGCACGGCTCTGCCACTGACAGGCTGCAGGTGGCTGCGGCCAGCTCCTCCTGGCAGGGCTTCTGCACAGAATACCATTCAAACACCTTGCCTTGCCCTGTTGGTTCCAAAACAAATTTCTCTCCTCCAGAAAGCATAGAGCCAAAGATGTCAAGATCCCATACTTAGTCTTTAAAATGTAATTGTGTCCTCTACATTAAGATTCTTGAACATGAGGAACAAGGAGGAATATCAGAATCTTCTGGGGGTAGGAAGGCATCAGTGGTAATTTGAAAAAGCATATATATTTTATATTTCAAAATAGCTAAAAAAGAAGATTTGAAATGTTCCCAGCATAAATAAATGATAAATGCTCAAGCTAATGGACATCCTGAATACCCTGACTTGATCATTACACATTATGTGCATGTATATCACGTGCACCCATAAATATGTACAATTATTATATATCAACGAAAAATTTAAAAAGGAAAAAGCATATGTAATATGGTCTTACAATGGGGGTAAAAATACATCCTCTTCATAGTATAAACTACAGAAAATAAGTATAGACTGAAGGTCTCTGCCAGCGGGGAAACAGACAATGTGCTGCGGAGTCCGCACATCTGTTTGCATCCCTGAGTGGAGGGTGGGGTTTGTGTTTGACCAAGGCAGGGCGGGTGCGGTGGGGGAGGCAAAGCTAGGGAAGCACAGCTCCACACTGTTTTCTCTCAAGTTACAGTTAAATTGAGAGGGCCTCCATTTATTAAAGCTGTCTCTTAAAATTAGGTAGGAAATGTTCAAGTTTTTTGTAATAACAAGCGCTAACATTTTCTTCTCCTGGCATATGAAGTCCTGAGTTGTTCAGGTGTGCTTATGAAGGTGTAAAGTGTTCAAGTACTTGAAAAAATATTATTAATTATCCTTTACAAAGAAAACTAAGTTCAGTCCAGACTCACAAAATTTATTTTCCCTCCCTATAGATGCTCATCATGTGTTAGTATTTAGTAGGGTATACTCTTCTGTGTAGGAACGTGTATTACTTGTTAATTTAAAGTTATATGGTATTTTAGATGGCCTTAAAATGTAAAGGTTTGGCCAGGCGCCATGACTCACACCTGCCATCCCAGCACTTTGGGAGGCCAAGGCAGGAGGGTTGCTTGAGCCCAGGAGTTGGAGACCAGCCTGGGCAACATGGCGAAACCACGTCTGTACTAAAAAAAAAATACAAAACTTACCTGTGTGTGCTGGCACGTACCTGTAGTCCCACGTACCTGGGAGGCTGAGGTGGAAGGATGGTTTGAGCCTGGGAGGCGGAGGTTGCAGTGAGCTATGATCATGCCACTGCACTCCAGCCTGGGTGACACAGCAAGACCCTGCCTCAAAAAAAAAAAAAGAAAGAAAGAAAAGAAAAAGGGCAAGATTTTAACAATATTCTACATTGTATTAGGAATTGTATTAATTGTGAATGATTTTCTAGCAAATTACATCTGTGTACATCCAGTTACAACTGGAAGCTATTTTGATAAGTAGTTATAGCCAGCTCTTGATTATCTGACAAAAAAATCATGGGTAACGGTGGCAAATTCTTCCTTCTGTTCACATTTTGAGCCCTAGGGCATTAGCAATTTGTGTGGGTTTAGCCGCTGTAAACAAATACATTTGTTAAATGAGATTGTATTTGGAAAGGTAAATGTGATGTCCAAAAAAAGCATGTAACACCCCCACCAGAGTGACACCAGTGCAGTCCTTAGATGCTGAACTGAATTTGGCAGCAGCCACAGCATCACTGCTTATGCCCACACGCCTGCCCTGGGAAGCCCCAGAGAGAACTGCATTGAGAGTGCCCCCTGGTGACCAACTATTGTATATATGTCAGAAAATGCTTTCATACAAATTCTGTTCTTGAAGCTTGTTTGCAAGTTGGTTATTTGAAACATGGAAAGTTTTTCAACGGGTATCAGAATTACTTGAAAATATTTTTCTGAACTATACTTTTTTCCCCCTTACTCAAGATTCTGATACCTTCCTAATTTTAAGCATCACTTAAGTACATGTACCATAGTTTATCATTGTTTTTCTTTCTTTTTTTTTTAATTTGAGACACAGTCTCACTCTTTCCCCCAGGTTGGAGTGCAGTGGAGCAATCTTGGCTCACTGCAACCTTTGCCTTCTGGGTTCAAGCAGTTTTCGTGCGTCAGCCTCCTGAGTAGCTGGGATTAGAGGTACACGTCACCATGCCCGGCTAATTTTTTGTACTTTTAGTAGAGACAGAGTTTCACCATGTTGCCCAGGCTAGTCTTGAACTCCTGACCTTAGGTGATCTGCCTGCCTTGGCCTCCCAAACTTCTGGGATTACAGGTATGAGCCACTGCGTCCAGCCAGTTTATCATTGTTTTTCATTAGTTTCCAGGTTTTGGCTGTTAGGAACAAGCTGCTATGAACATTTTTGCACAGATCTGTCTGGAGACACATGTCTTCATTTCTTCTGGGTTAATATCTAGGAGTAGAATCACTGGATCGGAGGGTAGGTGTATGTTTAGTTTTAGAAATTGCCAGACTTTCCCCACAAGTTCTGGTTGTTCTGCATCTGCCAACACTTGGTGTTGAAAGTCTTTTTAATTTTAATTATTTTGGTAGGTTTTCATTGTGGTTTATTTGTATCTTCCTGATTGACCAGGGTTGATTAATTTTTGCATGTGCTCATGGGTCAATTGTGTATCTTCTTTTGTTGAGTGTCTCTTCATATCTTCTTATTATTATTATTACTATCTTTTGAGACAGGGCCTTGCACTGTCACCCAGGCTGGAGTGCAGTCGTGGATCTTGGCTCACTGCAGCCTCGACCTTTGGGGCTCAGGTGATCCTCCCACTTCAGCCTCCCAAGTAGCTGGGACTACAGGCACGTGCCACCACACCTGGCTAAATCTTTTTATTTTTTTGTAGGAGTCTTGCTTTGTTGCCCGGGCTGGTTTTGAACTCCTGGACTCAAGCAATCTTCCTGCCTTGGCCTCCCAAAGTGCTGGAATTATAGGTGTGAGCCACTGTGCCCAGCCTGTCTCTTCATGTGTTTTACCTACATTGTTTTATTTTATTTTTGTCTTTTTGCTATTTTTGTAAGAATTTTGTATATGTTCTGGTTAAAGTCCCCTCTGTCAGATATATATCTTACAAATAATTTCTCCCTGTCTGTAGTTTGCCTAATCATATTCTTTATGGTATCTTTTGATTAATAGAGTTTTAAATTTTGATAAATTCTATTTTTCAGTGTTTTCTTTTATGATAATTACTTTCTGTGTTTTGTCTAAGGAACCTTACCTACCCTCAGGTTATATAGATAATACTCTCCTTTAATCTTCATTGTTTTAGATTTTACCTTTGGGCCTGTGATCTATCTCAAATTAAGTTTTGGATATTACATGAGGTACCAAACGAGGTGGTTTTTTGTTTTAATCATAGGGATATCTGATTGTTCCCATACCTTTTA